TATTATAATTGTTAATTATTTCTACTGGAATGGTAAAATTTGTGCTTCGTCAACGATTGGTTCTCTCCCAATTCGTGGGATCGTACAACCTTAACCTTGGTCGTTAGTAAGCCGAAATATATATCCATTTATTACTATAATATTATAATTGTTAATTTTTTCTGGTGTAATGGTAAAATTTGTGCTTCGTCAACGATTGGTTCTCTCCCAGCCCGTAGGATCAACGACCATCAAGTTTGAGGCATCGGCAGCGCCGGTCGTTCGCAGAGGTCGACGCCGGAGACATGAGTGGGTGCCGGCGCTGCTCGAAGCTGTTTTTTTTTGCATTAAAATATTTATTCGATTCGCTTCTGAATCTAACATGGTCATAAACGCGATACTGATATCCAATGTTTTCAGGACATGGTAATTAAGAACTCTCGCTGTTAAGATTAGCAATAACAGGTAAAACGACACTTCCTTCAAAGGAAATGTTTTATAAGACTGTGACGAGAAGGAATTATAGCAAATAAATGTAAAGTGCTGGATTAACAAATAAATAGAATACATTACTAAATCACCTCTAAGCTTAGAGCTGATCAAGCCAATTAAAATACGGACTCCCAACTCTTCATTTACACTCTCCTAGGTTTAATAAAAATTAATAATGAAAATTTTCATTCACTATGCGCTAATTCTAAACGCTTTTAGAGCCTGGCTTCCATTTTTTCAGTTCTTTTGGATATAAAATATTGTTAATATTATTTATAAACTCGAATAAAATTATCGAAATGTTATATACTCAATAAAAAAATATACTCAAACGAAATTTTTAACGAAAACATGGAAATCATATCATCCAAGTCGTTCCCCATCCCGTCTTCCCCTTCCATTTGGTATTTCAAATGTACAGAAGACGCATCCATGTAGCGCTAAAATGTAGCCCAAAACTACACTTTATAACATCGCAATAATTAAAATTAAGGTAATTTTTCATATGTGTGGAAAGATTTAATAAAGTAACAGTTCTTGAGATCACTCAATTTCCAAATCAATTAATAGTTATTGAGAGCACAGAATTTTCGAACAAGATGATGGTTCATATATAGGATCACAAGAATTTAAAATTAGGCAACAATTCATAATTAAAAAAAAACATTATAAAATTTAAAATAAAGGAATAGTTTAAAGCTAAATAAAATTTTTTATTTGGTATAATTTCTTGTTATTTCAAATAGGGTTGTATTTTACGAGTTAAATAAAATTAGGGCCACAAAAACTTTAAATTAATAAATGGATATGCATAGGGGAACACATCAGGTCCTTAAAATTATCGATAATAGGCTACAGAAACGGAATAAAATCACCGGAAATCAATAATAATAGAAGGCGTACAAGTTCAGTAATAGCCGTCGTTTCAACGCTAAAGACATTCAAGTCAGTCATTTTAATTTCATGTTCGCCTCATCGTTAGTATATGAGATGGTGAGTTAAGTTCCTCATAACGCAACTACTAGTGCATATGTGGTTGCACCGATAATGTTTTAGCTGGGAAATTAACACCCGTCAAGTTTAATTGCTGGATTTCACACGAGCAAATCGGTCCCGGTTGAATAATCGGAATGAAAACGAACTTATAAATCGAGCTGGTAGGTTCCAAATAACTTGAATTTAATTTATAAAAGAAACGAGGACCCGGAATATTTTGTAGCAATTGTCATATTCTTTCTTAGATTCTTACACATATTTATTTTCGTGACTTCGTCATAACAAGCACCGGGAAATCTTTATGCCGGGAACCCCCTGAACTTCTGTATATCAGGAAAAGCTTTAGGAATGTCAGAACTTTCCTCAAAGATAGGATTTAAAATTAAGAATTTTAAGGCATGACAGACAAAATTGGCATAACGAACAGTGGCACTACAGTACTATCTGTTATTTGGTTGCTTAGGATTTGAACATATATACACATATTTTCTAATAAAATTGTCTATTTTATCCAAGTGTTTGTGGAAACAAAACTCGTGAAAGAAACTCTTCTTACCCGTCGCTACGTTCCCGCTACGACGCGGAAGTGCCCGGGATTTCCTCCGCCGGAACGCCACGCGACACACGAGATCAATGGCCAATGCGAGCTCCACCCCCCGCCCCTCCCAGCTCACGAGACCAATAGGTAGCTCCCGGGAGCTCGTTAGTCATCAAAATCACGTCAGCAGCTTCTCTTAGATTCCTACAAACTAGTTTACTTTAGGAGCGTGAGTCAAAGGTTTGGAGAACGTCCCGGAAAATAGGTAAGCTCCCGTACGATCAGTGGTGGAAATGAGGTAAACTACCGAGAATTTTTTAAGAGCGACAAAAAAAATAATCCAATTCTATCCCTTTGAGCATATGACAACGTTGCAGAATCCGATAGAGGTAACGTGTTTTGGTCTAACTTATATCAGGTGTATTGCATACATCACCGGATTAACGATGGAAGAGCTTCCGTGAAATCGTTTATGGTGCGAGGTATCAAAGCAAACTTAGCATGGACTTCACAGTTTTACTACCACTTCGTTAATAGAAATTATTTTTAGGAGTTTGAAATTTTTAATTGGTATATTTGGTAGCTTTCACATCAGACTCTTTAGGGCTGTTGGGAACTCAGGACTCCTTTGCATTTATTATCAAATATTTTAAGATCCATAAAATACGAGCACTAAAATCACGAATTGGAGCAACTTCAAGAAAATATCTGTTAATGATAGCTTGAAAAAAAATACGACTTACCGTATATCCGGCGGTTTTGCTCTCATTTTGCGAATACATGTAGATTTGAAAAAAAAGTGTTGAAAGCTGGTAAGTACTTGGATGTACTGTACTTAGAAGCGAGAGATGTGTAATAAATACAGGCACTCTTTGTCATGTAACCAGCAAAATATCATTATTATCCTATTTCCGGATGAACTCGGAAGAAAATTTTCAGCTATGATGCCTTTATATAAACTTGTGTAATTTAATTTATATATTTAAAAATCAATCTCATATTGTTTGAATAATTAGTCAATAAAATTAGTACATTATTCGTCGAGGACAGTCAGTCAATTAGTCAATTACTCCTCGACATTCCACTAGGCTTTCGAATTCTTGATGATTTCAAGCGTTACTGAAAGACTTGATATGGAACACTTGATACTCAAATTTATTATTCACAAAAAATATGATTCAAACAAAAAGGTTTATGAGTACCTAGTTGTTAAAAAAATTCTTATATTACTGCTTATAACACGACATGGAGTCGATTCGGAGGCATTTAGTAGTGATGTAGTGAGTCACTGCTGAAGTAGTACTAGATTAGTACTACATGCATCCGAATCGAAAGCCATGAGAATTTATTAAGAACTAAGAATTCAGAAACCTTTTTGTTTGAATAATTTTTGCGAATAATAAATTTGAAAATCAAGTCATTCATATCAAGTCATTCAGTAATGGTTGAAACCATCAAGAACTCGAAAGCCAAGTGGAATGTCGAGGATTAATTGACTAATTGTCCTCGACCAATAATTGACTAATTTTATTGACTAATCATAAGAACACGGAGAGAATGATTTTGAATTTTATAAATTAAATGTCACTGGTCAATATAAAGGCATCAGAGCTGAAAATTTCCTGACTAGCTCATCCGAAAATAGGATAATAATGATATTTAGCGGTTCATATGACAAATTGTGCCTGCATTTACTACACATCTCTTGCTTCTACGTACAGTACCTACTAAGAACTTACCAGCTTCCAAAACATTTTTTTTTTAATCTACATGTATTCGTAACCTGAGAGCAAAAGCGCCAGATATACGGTAAATTGTATTTTATTTTTAGTATATAGTACAGCTGCATCACTTCACAATGATTGTAAAAATAGTATTACCTCAAATCAGTTTCGTTTTTCCGGAGTACTTGTAAAAAACGAAACGATTGACAGCACTAACTCTTTAATTTACTATTCATATTATCTGGACTAATTTAGCGGTTTTTAGCCCATGGATCAACCATGCATTTAGCAAATCTCCTAGTGTCATGAGCACAAATAGGAATGATGTATTCTAAACGGAAACGAAAACTTTAGAGCTTCTTTATTCATAAAAACATTCTAACAATGTCCAGGATATTTGCCGTTCTATCTTCCTAGTCACTAACCCACGGACAAGCAGTCTGAAGTCGAGGACTTATAGTCAAAATATTATTGTCATAATCCTGACATGAATGTTTTTCAAGTTTTCATGTCATTTACGGGAGAAATTCACGAAAAAAATTTTCCTTCCTGGTTCAAATTACTTCGTTTTCTTTGATTTGTGAAGGCTTTGGAAATATTGAAGAAATGTGTCTCCTTTGCTGCTGTGTAACACACACAGCTGCAAATGAGTACAGCAAGGAGGCTGTACGCATGAGTAAGAAGGCTATACGCAAGAACAAGAAGGGAGTACTCATGAATAAGAAGGAAGTACTCATGAATAAGAAGGGAGTACTCATGAATAAGAAGGCTGTACTCACGAATAAAAAGGGAGTACTCATGAATAAGAAGGCTGTACTCATGATTAAGAAGGCTGTACTCATGATTAAGAAGGCTGTACTCATGAATAAAAAGGAGTACTCATGAATAAGAAGGCTGTACTCATGAACAAGAAGGCTGCATGTACTCATGAACAAGAAGGCTGTAGATATCCTTGATTTGAGGAAAGTTGAGAGCAAAATGACTGAGTTTTTTGTTAACTTCACATGTCAGCATTCAATATGTTGGTGCAAACAAATAAGTCTCAATTTCAAACGCTTTAATGCAATTTTGGCCCTTGGCTTATGTTTAACAATAACCGAAACTTCCTTTATCTTGAGCTTATCCATTGGTACTGTCATGCTCAACTCGCATTACATGTGTGTTCTCACTTTGTTAAGTTCCAAGGTTTCGTCGTGAATAAAGGTTTTGCTTGAATTTCTCATGATATCATCAGGATGTTCAAAACAACAGTGATGATTTTAGTTTTTTCTCAAATCTTGACATTAGCATGAGGCTACAATTTACGATGAGTTGCTCCGAACAAATACCTGCCAAGTTACGCACATCAATACGCAGAACACATTTATTTTATAATGCTAATAATAAGAGGAAGACATAACCATTACTACTTTGAATTTAACTGGAATAATTTTCATGAATCAGACTCTACTCAGGCAGATGCTAATGGCATAACCTGGATAGGATTACCTTTTACTACTTAATTGTCATCTTATGACATTTCAATATATTCCTATTTTCAAATTTTGTCTGATACAAGACAATAGCAGACATATTTGTTACTGAAATAGCAAAACATCACAACAAAATAACGACTATAAGCTGAATCAATATATGTTATTATCAATAGATTCTCACCCTAGCTTCTGTGCTCTAAGGCTGAACAAGGAAATGCGACCAGGCGAATGACTCGGCTATGATCTAGCGTTGTGCAGTTGGAGAACTCTAGATTGTGACACGACTAAACATTGTTGATTTTTTCGATCAATGAATTTCTGTTTTATTTTAACATAACCGCCAATCGTTTGTGCAAGCTACATAGGTACATTTATATTTGTCCTAAACATTCATTATTTTAAAATTCATCAAGAAATGAGATAATACATTTTGAAACGTTCGCTACATATACTAACGTACGTACCCAAACATAATACGTATCGGACAATAATTCACTCCTACGTGATCTTCTACTTATAGAATTTAAGTGGATGAAGAATCACAGGGATTTTTACAATGCAATTTGCTGGAGGCATATGTTTTCGTTGAGTTCTAAGTTAAAGATCGACATCTCAGAATAGGTCTCAATCAACTTAAATTAAGAGCTATTCATTGGAAATTTGATGCAAGGATATTATTTGTTCAACACTGCTAGAATGTTACAACATTAAATCCAAAACCTCGTATACTTTCCCGCAATTAAATTAATTACAAGTCAGTGAAATGAGCGAACTGTCAGGATATAACTCCCATGCAATTAATTTTCCAAGTGTTCTAGATATTGCACAATGGGTTAAAAGTAGTCGTTTCTTAATAGTGTATAAAGTAAGAGATCCATGTATTACAGCGAAATTGAAGTAGAAAGGAGAATCTCTAGCACCTAATTTTGGCACTTGACAGCGTGAACAATTAGGGTTTTCCGGCACCCAAACCAATCGTAGTATCTTAAAAGAACAATCATCTGAGCCTGCAATCGTAGATGAAACGGCTTCTCGTATTGTAGAATATTGTGGGACAAGTCAAGTGATTGAAGCGCGTGATGTTACAACCATATCAACGGAAAAAAATGTTACATTCAGACAATCTTTATTCACAACTGGGCGAATCAAATTTAGGTAACGGTTGATTCTGACGGTGCTAAATTTTCCATCTAAGGATTTATAATCATGACCAAAATTGGGAAGAATGATTACAAATTTATTTCAGTTTATTTTAAAACATGTGAAATCTTTTTCTAATAAATTCAAATGAGCAAATAGTCATCATTCATCTATAGTTTTGAATGCCCGTTGAATGTACAATTGTTACGTTCATTGACTAGGGGCACTTGTAGCCTCCATTGAAAATCAAGAAAATTTCTATGCTGACATTTACTTGAAAAAAATATATATAATGAGTCGTCTCAAAATTCAGTCAACTATTTCTAAAACTGTTAAAGACTTACTATAGAATGACTTAAACTTAGGAATTGAGTAAGAGAAGATATTTAAGAAAAATAAATAAATTCTTCCGGTCAGAAACTTTTGGATTAGAGAGCGTAAGTTTTGGGAACGAGATATTCTAATGTAATTACAAAAGCCGTAAACTCTTATCATCTTTTCCACACACTTTTCTTCCTCTATTTTATTCAATTTTATGTTTGAGTTATTCGTCAAGTAAGTCATTATTAAATGAAACGGAAAAATGTCTACATTCATGCACAGATATAAGATAATATTTTGTCGATATATATTGAATATTAACTATGGCTAACATAACAGAATACATTGATTATAAAAAAGAAAAATTTGTAATTATTCGAAGCTGCGAACTGCTGGGCTAGTAAAAACTCATTTGCTGTGTAAGGTAAAATAAATTAAATGAAAAAAACTGGATCGGACAAAGCGTAACAACGCAAATGTTAAATTCCAACTAAACAATGCTTACGCAAATGCGTTTTTGCTCTTTGCATTTCAGCTTGTAAGTAGAGCACTAGATCTTCAATTCCCAAACTGTGTTAGTCGCATATCGCCAGTTGTACGCGAGGGCTTACAGGTTGTATGCAAAGAGTACCAGAATCATGTTCCAGTTATGTTATATGTTGTGCTTGTTTCGTGCGAGCTCTCAGTATAAAATAGAGCATCCATTCTTATTCCCTATTAAACTTCAGTGTTCGTGTTCATGTTCATATGGTAAGTCGCGTTATGATCGATGCTGATGGTACGTGGTCCAGCCTTGGGAATCGGTTACAAAATGTCCTGAACCACTGCACCACATGCATTGTAGCACACAAGCTTCACGCACCACGGACATGTTGCGGTTTCTCTATTACTTTCATCATCGAACATACGGACTAAGAGTTGGGTACTCTAGAGGCATGATAATATTTTCATCCTTTACGCAAGTCGTCTGGTATATTTAACAGCAGCGTTGTATCCTGACGAGGGATCTGCTCTGAAGGTGACAATTTGAGTCCTGCCGTCGGGCAACAGGACGCGATACTCTCCCTGGACGTCGTCGCCGTGACTCGTCTCTGAATGACTGAATTGTTGACCCGCTTTTGGATCACTCACACTCCAGTCAATGTTGTATGGCATGTAGGGATGCATGGACTTGTCCATAGCGGGGGCCGGTGTGGGGGGCGGCGGTGGTGAAAATCCCTTAGGTGTAGGTAGAGTGGCGGGGGTTGGTGACACTTCCACCACTTCCGGCAATTCCAAATCAAATTCCAACTGAAAATGTTGCGTTATAAGTAGGATGTATATTTTGGACGAGATTGTATAAGCTCTGACTGTCAGGTATTGTGGAATTTGCGTAGAGTGAGGGATTGGAATAACAGGCTTCCACGCAGTTGATCAACTTGAAAATATGCCTTGCAATGTTTTAATTATGACAATCAGAACGTATTTATAGAATAAGGACAGCATCGTGTAGTTTTTTCTGTCAATATGTATCATATTTTAAGGTAATTTTCTGATATATAGTGCATAAATAGTGACATTCTCACATCTCTTCAATATTTCAACTCATTCCCTTATTTCTTGACGACTCATTTTCTTATATTGTTTATTTACGGCGAGGAAGATAATGCAGTTTGCCATAAAATTAAATCCTGTAAAAACGAAGCAAGCAGGAATGAGAGCAAGCAAGAACCATCTTCTCATAATTCAATATTCGTTTAAAACTTTGCAGGAACCTGAGTGGTAAAGGTTGTATTCTGTCTCCCATTAGAATGTACTGTATGCAATGATGCAAAATAAGGTTAAATCTTGAGGTTTCTTAGCTACTAGAACTTTTGCATAATTTGACTGTATTGTTTGATTACATGGTTTACCTGATGGTTGACTTATACCTACTGTTGCACGTTGAAAAAATGTTTACAGTTTTAACACAACTTTTTATTCTGAACGTTTTTATTTGCATGCAATTTCTTTTTATACGAGGCTGTTCATTGCTTATTGGTGCTGCACTTACTCTCCGTGCAGGCTGTTTTTTGGCTTTATTCGTACTAATTATACTCTATTTATTCATATTTATTAACACTCAGATTGTTCTCGTAAGCCGTTGTAGTTGTTGTCAGAAGCTATTTTTTCCGATGCATTCGCGAGGTCGTGCTATGTTTGAAAATTTCATGCAATTTTAGAGGATGCAAATAAAAAGTTTAATTTATTGCGTTTATTGTTTATGCATCAACAATTTATAAAGTTGTTAGTAGTAATATAGACTTTGATACGAACACAAATTATGCAAAGGAGCCATTATTGTCATAAAGAGCCATTTGTCCAAGGCATACAAAAATAAAATTTAAATGAAGTAATGCTGTTTTTTAATGCAATATTCAAAATTCTTTCGAAATGATTCAAAAGATTTTTAACACATAATAAATTACTGATATCCAATGAATGCAAACTTATTATTATATAGTCCTGAATTTTGCATCAGAATTTGAAACCCTATGGTTGTCTAAATATTTTTATTGTTACTATATGATAGTACAGGCATCTCGCATTCTACTTCATAATTATTGTCATTTAAAAAACAAGAGCAATTCAAGCAGGCTGGAAAACTTCTTGGTATTAAGCACGTATCGGAGGCCCTTGGAAGAACGGACTGTTGAGCCAGCGACCTACCGAGACAAAGTTTGTGTTAAGGTTTGACGGCCCTTCATCCTGAAGAGGGAGATCTGCTTCCGGGGCGCCGTAAAGACCTGACGGAGGTGGTGGAGGAGGGGGTGGTGTGGTAGTGGTGGTGGTGGTGGTGGTGGTGGTAGTGGTGGTGGTTCTTGGAGTTGGTGGGAACGGAGCGGCGGCCTTGACGCGGTCAGGAATAATTGGCGGTGGCGGCTGGAATCGAGTAATATAATTAGCATGACTTTACACTCAGGTAATTAAACAAATGAAGGTTTTCATGGATAAGGCAATTTTATGCGATCCACAATTATCAGCATTTGAATATTTAAATAAGTAATTTGCTTATCTACATTTAACAATGTCACTTAGTGGTACGAATTTGAACTTGATGCGCAATGTTGCAGGGATGGAGATGTTGTGAAAGCGATAGAAAATAAGTTCGAGCTTTGATGTGAAATAATGAACATGAACAATTTTACGGCAATTTTAACGAAATTCCAATGTGCAAATAAAGAATAAATCGTCTTATATTAATTTTTCTGTTTGTGTGCTTGTTTATGCGTTTGAAACCTGGCTGCGCGAATGAATAGAGGCTGTTGGACGCTTATCCGCGATACTTATCGTGTTGGGGTATAACCTGGACCTGATATATATAATTATTTCAAAAATAGTAAGGCATTGCAGCACTGGAAGAGAAGGATTTAATCGAATACTGATATTAAATATTTCAAAAAAGTGCGTATGAAGTAAATTAAGAAGGCACCAAGAAATTTTTATAAATGAAACGAGTGTAAAATAGGAGTTGCATATCCAAAGTAAAATGTGGCTTTGATCGAACTTTTTCTTAATTACACCGGATTATATTCATTATATTTAACATAATTATTCCTAGAATTGCAGAGTTTATCGACCCTAAACAACGGCGGGCCAATCTGCTAGTCTATCATATATTATAAATATCAGCATTTATATATCAGTTGGTATTTTATAGTTCTCTAAGTAGTTGTAGTCGCGCAAGCAATTCTCTAGTGATAACAAATCTGCTAGATAAAGCAAGGGATCACGCGAACCCAATTGTCGTTGACGTCATACAACGTCTGAATATTCGACGTCCTTGAATGGAATTGCGGAGAAGTCAGGACGTCGCCGCTGTGGCCGCGAAGGAAGGCTTAGCAAACTTGCTCGACGGGTTCTTCATACTTCTTTTCCTAGATTGCATGTCACACAAACTGCGTGTAAATTGTGTAGTGAAACTCATTAACCTGTTGTCTCGTCCCCTCCGTGTGAAACAGTACAAACGTCACCATGTACCATCGTGGCAGGAGTATCAGGAATGTTGTCATCGCGGCAGGAATACCAGGAATATTGTTATCATCGCGGCAGGAATATTGTTATCGTCGTGGCAGGAATACCAGGAATGTTGTTATCATCGCGACAGGAATATTGTTATCATCGTGGCAGGAATACCAGGAATGTTGTTATCATCGTGGCAGGAATACCAGGAATGTTGTTACTGGTCGCCAGGCACCCGGGAATACGTATCTATTCCTGAGCGTGATGCGGTAGGTGTTTGACCACATCGTGATGCTGGTCAGGTCATCATCCCTGGACTTCCCCAAGAGAATTACTTCAAAGTAAATAATGCTACGACAATAAAAATGATCCCAGATTTAAATTCACATACTAAGTAAATAAAGGGACAATTAAGGGGCACTTCTTCGTTCGCTGATGAACTTCGGTACTGCAATGCCTTTAAAGAACATAACATAACATGGTAATATAGACGTTAGATAATTCGCCGGGTTCGTTTGTCGGCGGTTCTTATAATTCTCTTGACTTATCTTTTGGAGATCTGGGGACTGGCTTTTGGACCAAGTCTTTCAAAGACTGACGTTGAAAAGATTTTAGAAACCCATGAAATGTAAATTGGACCAGACGTATTTTCTCATCGGCCTAGCAAGCTGCCTCGTCGATCACAGCTATCTTCTCCGTCCTGCAATCTTTCGGCATTTAACCACGAGATTGCGAAAGATTATAGTGATATATGAATTAATTTGCTCACAGGTCCGGCGAGCTCGAAGTGCGTGCCGGCGGGCAGGGCAGCGGCAGGAGGCTCTGGGTAGGAGTAGCCGCGCTGGAGGAGGTTGGTCACTCTGTTGGGGGACTCGTCAGCGCCGAGCTTCGCTGGCGCCGCTGACGACGAGCACAGCAACGCTGCCACCCACAGCACCACCGACGCCTGCTGGGGGTGAGGGGTGAATATAACCATGACCTGTTTTAAAATACACCATGATAGTGGTATTGTGGTATACCACTATGTGAAATTATACTGAATGATATTGAAATGTTGATATGTGATATTATACTGAATGATATTTTGTCAACTTTTGAATGTTTGCATTATTGATGCTGTTACAAGTATTGTAGTGCGAATATTATAAGAGTTTCTGTATAAAACCACAAAAAATAGTGCATAAAATGTGAAAATTTTCAAAAACTGGGACGCACTCCGTTGTCACTTTTCCCACCTTTAAAGTGATGTAAAATCGCATAATAATTTTTGGTCTGCAAAATAAAAGCATCTATGCAAACACGTTTAATATATATTAACATTCGTGGCTAGAAGTAAAACGGATGCAAAAGCTTATGAGTTTGCGACATTAATTTCAATTAATTACACTTGGTTTAGCTTAACGAGATTTGAGTTATGATATTCAACCTCCATCCCATATACTTCGTCACATTAATAACTTTTGCGAGTTGTTTACCTTAATTTTTAGCGCATTTTCTCATTTGTGGAATAAATGCACTATTGTGCTCGCCATGTCCGTCTGTCTGTCTGTCCGTCTGTCTGTCCGTCTGTCCGTCTGTCCGTTCGTCGACGAGAAAATGCGCTCTCTGTCACTCACTGCAGTAAGTACTGAGTTATATTTTTTCTCTAGTAAGGAGTGAAGCATCAAAAATATATAAATTTTATGTATCTTAACCCGAAACAGAGTTACTATTTCTGTGCCAGGATTTCAGAAATAATCCAAGCAGAAATGAGTCGTAAATTTCACCTCATCCCCATTTAATCCAGAATCAAAAATCAATAAAATGATGCAGTGTTTTGTATTCGCCTGCTTCATGGTAGCTCTATATAACATCTCTTATCTTAAATTTTGTATTTTCAATTTCATGAGTTCTTATTAGATACGGCATTGAAACTGATATAAGTACAGCAGAACATCTCGTGACAGTGCATCAAAGCATTTCTTGAATGCTGGCGAATATTTCACGTTCACGATTGTAACTATTCTATTTTTTAAATATTAAATATATTTTTCACCATTGTACTTATGCCGATAAAAATTGTGTTGACTCCTTTAACGGTAATAACTCATTATTCTTATTTTTTGTTCACAAAAGTTAACAACTGAAGCTCAGATGTCGCCACGTGAGCGTTTCATGTACGATCACGACTTGTAGTGTAACGAAGGAACAAATTACTATACCTGAGAACGAATCTCTGAGTAATTAAATAAATACATTAAATTACGATTTTCAGCAGGACGTATTACCTTCTTCATCATTAAATGGTTTAGTTACAAAAAATTCTTTAATTGCTTGAAATGCAAATCTTAGTCCGTCTCTTAGAACACTTCGGTGGTGAGCTCGGAGAGGAGTATAGATGCGTGCGTACACTGACCCGTCTGCGTGTAAACTGACCTCTGTGTGATCACGTGTGTTTGTTTTATATCAACGCGACCAGGAGATACAGGGATACATATCTGGGCATCCCCAACGAGGTCATCACTAGAATAATCAAGACTGAATTCTCGTTTGTTATAAATGCACGCGGTTTCACTTAACTGTTACTTCCGCCCATATAATTTGAACTGAAGCTACGTGAAAGAAAAAAAAGCATTTAAAAACAAATACTTACAAAAGAACATTCAATTTTTGTAGGTGTATCGTAAAGGCTGCATGGTAAGGAACAATGAGCGAGAATTATACATAAACAGAAAATATAAATCGGAAAACGGCCATTGAAACTTACCTAGGTACATCAATTTCCAATCTAGTTGGAAGTAAAACGTTCCGGGTGCGAAGTTTTGGCAAAAGAAGAAACCGCACCGAACGGGGGTGTAAATTTTTATTATAAACCAGCAAAGTTCCTAACACGACGAAAAATCATCAACCGAACTTTTCCCTTCCAGGAAAATATAATAATAATAACCAGGAAAGCGACAGAACATTTTTATAAGATGAACATAACCCTTGTCCTAAGTATACTATCATTATCACAAATCTAGGAAAAATCTGATGCCACGTTGCCGACGAAATTATTCACGAAAGCATGCACCAAAAATGACATCTGGATATCGATCCCCCTGTTAAACCCCAGCCTCCAGCACCTACCTACCATTCAATCCCAACCTCTAGCACCTAACAACCTATTCATGCACCTATATCGCCTCTTTTTTTTATTTTCACGTGTAGTGTATCTTTCACGTCCTCTATCTAACTGCTCAGGATAAATGCTCCACAAGAGGCAATGTGAAACTAATTCGTTGGCAAATATTTTGGTCTTCGAGAGGTAGTTGATTTAGAACAAACTACATAGTGGTGAGGTGGTTCTATGCAGAGTGTAACCACTGGGCAGGATGGCCCAGTGGTTACAGTTCAGAGTATCAAGATTGGAGCAGAGAGACGCGGGTTCGATCCCAGCTCTGTGCGCCATGCAGTTTCTGGTCAGAATCGGCGAGGAGGCCGGGCGGTTAAGCTCAGCAGAATTGTAGCAGTGAGTTGCGAGTTCGAGACCGCATCAACCTGTGAATGTTCTGCGATGTTAAGAATCGGCGACAGGCCTACGGCCTAATAAACGCTGAAACTGCTATTATTATTATTATTATTATTATTATTATTAAGGGAATACAACGCAATAACTGGTATTTGACTGGCACTGCCGACAATATTTTCAAGCAGTGTGGACGCATGAACAAGTTTCAAGACCCCGAATTCCCTCTCGGGGAAAGTCGCAGTCAAAATCAAGGGCTTATATCCTACCAACGATTGGCTGAATATCGTTGTAATTTAACAATTATAGTTGAAGTATTATGTATATTTTCAAATAAAGAACATTTGAAATGATTCTTTCGAGTGGAAGTATTAAGAAAGATATTTTTAATGTATCACCGATGGAAAATGCCACTATGCGATATGTCTTTCCTTTCACAAATGTTATTACATTGATAAATACCTGAATTTATTAAACAGTACTGATATTGCCTTTTATTATAAGCCTCTAAATACTTTTCATATGTACTGACTAATAGGTACAACATTGAGAATATGAGAGGAAAGGATGGCAGGATTTTTTTCGACTTCTACCATTTCTCAGTCACCTCTGCATTACCTCCAACAAAGGACAAATTTCCCAGTGCTAATTTATCAGAGGCTTCCAGTTGGGAAGCAGCTGTTTGGCATCAAAATATGCAATTCAAAAGAAAATTGCGAATTTTAACACTAACACGTTCATCGATATTGCCTCAACATGTGACAAGAAAGTCTGAGCGCCTGAAAGCGGCCGGTCAGTTGGTCATATAAAGAGAATCTGGCTGATAGTTCAAAGCGCTTGCATGGTTGATGGTTCTTCAAAAACATCGTTCCAATAAAAACTATTGTCTCGAAAAAACTCTCCAGGAAATCCACGTCTATTTTCACTGAGGCCAAAAAAACTTCTAGGTACATATTTATGACGTTAGGAGCGCCGGAATGCAGTGTAGAAGGGTCTTGTGGGCATATTTTTCGATTATTCACTTGCATCTCTAACCATTAAGTATATGAAATTATGAATAACTTTCTTTGTGATTAGATTAAAAAAAAAGAATCAACTCCAGTTGCAAATTTTGAAATTAAATTCAACAAAACTCAAGAAGCTGCTAGGCGATTTTTTTCACAGCGAATTGGACTAGCATGCATTGTGATGCCAGCGTTTGCTTCGCGAAAAAAAATCAAATAGATGACCAGTTTAATCTGCTGTTCGGGCACACTGCCCGAACTGCGATCACACTTTTTGGAGCGATATTTTTTCATCGATATCTGACACTGAAGTTCGTTTTCACGTTGGATTTATCCTGGTCGTAAAGGAAGAGTCTTCATTCGTCACTGAGGGAAGTCAGCGGAGATACTTTAGCCCACGGATGGACGCTCTAATTCTTAGTCTTGGCGTCATAAACTTGGCATATGATTTTTTTGAAGCATGAAAGTACTTTTCTAGGACGGATTTATCCTGGTCTCAGCGGCTTTAAGAAACAAGTCTTCGTTCGCCATTGTGCACGTTAGCAGTACGAAATTTGATGCGTATAATTTAAGAGATAAAATACTGTGAAAACGTAATTTATTTCGCTTATCTTATTCACCTATATGAAACCTGTCCATCTTACGGCCAAATTTTATTCTTAACTAGAATTCATCATTCCTGACAGTACATCCATTCCTTGAAATTTTCCATCTTCCTCTCGAGAGGTTATAAGAAAATTCAGAGGTACTTTTCAAATTTAGAGTGGAACACAGCGTTTCTAAGCCACGCATCATAACACCGAGAGAACAAGAAACTTAGGGAAGGACTCTTAGATGGACAGAGATGGAAAGTTCTTAAAGAGAGAATCATTTTCGTTGCAGGCAAATAGACCGGACTTGGCGGCAGATGGCGCCCTCCTCAAATTTATTTTTCACCCTCGTGCTTTATCATTCAATTTTTTTATTAAAATAAAGTTGCTGTTGTCATTGAGATTTAATTCTCGTTTTCCAGGATTACGAGCAGTAAATGACGACTATGAGCAGTCAGTCAAATTACATTTTTTATTAATCGACTATATGATCCTTGCACAGTCATTTATATGCATTTATATTACATGCTATATGCACAGTCGTGAGAAGTCAAAATACTTCATATCGTTCGTTCATTTATATGGTAATTTAAGGAATTAAAATTAAATTATGAAATAATCTACGTTTACATCGGGAAGACAAATCGGAACTTTTCTTTCCTTGAAATAAAGCTATTTTAGAGCGAATGCACAACATTTGATTCAGTCAGCGCGCACAGTTAATTATTAATATGTCCACAATTAAGACCCACAGAGACAATCTTCTTAAAATTTATTTACATCACACATATTTTGCTTGCTCTACTTTTCAGCCAGAGCATTAAAGTGCATGCTGGCAGGCAGCGGCCACGTCCACCAACTGAACAAAATGCTTGGGGCGAGTGTAAAAATATGTTCCTGCCACGTACATTATTTCATTCGCTATAAATTTCCTCTAACACTCCATATTAGAGCGTGCGAGCAGTTAAAACAAGTATAGCGGCAGGACAAGTGTTGCTCTGCAGTGCAGATGATTTAAGAGCCTTGTTTTACCTCCTAGCGTCAGCGCTCTGTTTCTTTCATGACTGGTAACATTTCACTGCTGTGTTGTGACTACAAATTTTCCAAGCACCTGACACAGCAAAACTATAGTGAGGCTTGTAATGCATACTAAGATGATTTAAATCGAATGTATAAGGTAAAATGTAAATTTAAAATCATGATTAAAAAGTGTTTTATTCCATTCACTGCCAGTGTCTCACAGAGTTACAAGTTCGAAATGATCTTCTTAAGTGGTGCTACATGAATCTAGAGACACTGACTGAAGAAGAAATGCGCAAATTTTTCTTCTATAAGAATTTCCCTTGAATTACTTCATTTGAAAAAAAAATGTTCCCTTGAATTCCAAAAGAACACAAAATTTGGTTGCCAATGTCTGACTCAAAGTACAGTTAATTCATTCACGTGATCTTGGATCCATATTACTATCAATAAATAAATAAACATTAAATCCATTGAAATTCGACTAAATCTGATAAAACGACACCTCTTAACCATGACTGTCAAATGACACAGGCCAATGTTCAGAATATTTTCCATTGTGTGAGCAACTTATTAATCATAAATAATTCTCATTCAAATAAAACAATATCATTTAAATGGCCATGCAAGTCTGCTGGTTGCAGCGAATGTTTCTCTCGAGACTGAAGAGATCTCGAGCACGTTGTCTGTACGTTCTTCTAGCCGTGACGTCTGCAGCTTATCTGGCGGTCAGTTACTATAGATAAAATTTCGAAGTTTTTAAGCGCGTTTAGTCCTTCGTGCCGACGACTAGATGTATTATAATAAAACTGCACCTTACATTAGAAAACGATGAATATTTATTGGAAATGAATTAGAAAACGAATTAATATCCTCCGCATTAGGTGGTTCCTTTGCCCTAATGCGAGAAATTACTCATGTACGAATGTCATGTCACATATATTTGATACTCATATATATGTATCCCCAAAAGGTCGTTGAATTAGATACTAGTTCTATATAAACTGATATTTATTCTGTTATCAACTTCATTACCTAGTTATGCCATACATCAAAAAATCATTAACAATCCGTGGCTCAATGAGGCTTTTTTCTAAAGTCTAAACAATTAAGGCACATATGTTAAGCAAGCAGGCACAGACGTGGGGCCCTCTCGAGTCAACTGACACTCATCATTCTTCATCGTTTAGGCTTTCGACGAATGGTTTCAAAATTATTTCATACTTTTATTAGCTGTTCATGTTTTAAATTTAATAAAAACTACTATTTTATAATAAATTACTACTATATTACTTCAAGTAGGTTGCTAGAACGCCGGGGTCCAACTGGGAATGTCAACCGGAGGCCGTTCTGCACCACCGCCTCCTTGGTCCGCTCGACGCTGGCGATCCGTTCGTCATCAGTGAAATCCGCCGCAAGTACGACAAGTGAATTGTTGCTTATTTCTGAAAGCGCAAGACAAACTTAAACTTACCTCTTCTGCAACTTAATAATAATGTAGGGCCAAATGTGTCTAAGTAAATATTGCGCTAAATCTAATTAAAAAAACTTGTCCAATTTCATCGCATCGAATGCCCACTTTAATGCGATTAATTCAGTGCACTGTTATTGTATTAAATGAGACCTAAAATTCTGGATATTACAGTATGTGTGTAAGATAAACTCATGTAGAATTATTTATTCTAATTCTGATCTAACTTATTCTCGTGTTACAGGTATCTCTTCCCAGCTCCAGGACCTTCCTTGATATCGAAAGACGTCATCAAAAGAATGACAGCGGGCGAGAACAACAACCTTTACTCATTCAAATTTTACGATAGGGTTGTTACTGAATTATTCATAAGCAATAACATTACGGGGGAATATTTTATTGAGGCGGGAGCTTTGGACGGCGTGTACGCCTCCAACACACTGAAGCTGGAGTTCTTGCAGCAGTGGACGGGCTTGCTCGTAGAGCCCGACCCCGACATGTTCGAGCTCCTCTTGAACACCAAACGCAACAGCCAGGCGATCAGGGCGTGCATTTCACCACATTCTTACCCCTATAAGGTAATACAATTATTCTATAATCTAAACAGTATTCATTCCTTCTATTGTTATGCAATTAGCCTAACTACCAAGTATGCAACATCCAATGAATTTCTACTTCCTTTTTTTAATTTAATTGATTTCAAGTAGATCCACGAGGGAAAAAAGTCATATTATTTGAAATTTTCAATTTGAACTCAGGGCGACCCAGGTACGAAAAATCGAGATCCTAACTAATTTGTCTTTCACGGATCAGAACTTGGCCCTGGACAGTCATTAATCAACTAATTAATAGATATGATCAAGTTAACCTAAGCATTTGAATAATTTCTAGGAAAAAATAATGTACGGAATGAATGTTTAAAACTTATATTCCATATCCTAGTGCACGAATTGGAAATCTGGAAGTCTTGAGGCTATCACTCATATTTCGGACATCCATTAATAGTTTATTTTTTAATTTGAACATATATTAATTTTCTGGACGCTTTCAGGCGTTGCTGCGAACACTCTCGCCAGAGAAATCTCCTCATGATTCTGCAATTTCATACAAAAGCATGACTTCGCTTTTCTCCGGGGAATCCGATGACCGAACGTTCAATGGCTTCCCAACCTATCGAGACGTTATTTGTTTCCCCATGAGCAGCATCTTGTTGGCCGCTCAAGTGTCGCACGTCACACTCTTCTCCCTAGATGTTGAAGGTGGGAAAATCTGATCTTTTAGTAATTATCAACAGCTAGCGTGAGGTTCGACCATTCACAATAGTTTTACAGTTTACTTGTCTTGTTATGCCATTGTACAGTGTCCAAATGATGTTGAATATAGATTTAAGGAAATAGAACACTCATATAATCAACAGCGTACATTCCGGAGAAAAACAGAACCATGTACCGGTGTACAATAATTATTTTAAGTTTTTATGTTTATCCTTTGATGCTCCACAGATTTGAAAGTGGCTATGCGCATTAAAGGGAACAGATCTTGAAATCTGTTAAAAAAAACCTTAGCTGAACAACGCATATAGTTGTACTCGAGTTTATATAATTAGTAAATTCATATTTTAGCTAATTACTATGTTACTTTCTATTTTGGTTTGCGATCAGTCTTTGCAATGCGAATTTATTGACACTTGATTAGTAACAGTACTTGTATTATTGATTATATCAACTGATGATGGAGCTGGTGTCCGAAGCATTTACCTTAAATATGCTAAATTATTTGGAATTTTCTTCGCTACTGAATTTCTAACTTGATCATCGCATTCTGTAGGAAACTTCAATTATTGGAACATCTCAATATTATTTTCATATATAGAGTCACGGAACACAACGTGCACCGATAATAGAAAAATTTAATTTTAAAGTTGGATTTTTGTTTCTCATTAATTAAATTCGAAAATTTCGAGCAGACGCTGAACGGAAAATACTTGAAACTTTTCCCTTCGAGTCGGTGAAGGTGGACGTGTGGTTTGTCGAGCACAGGACGCGTGATGACGTCACAGGAGCGCTCACTACGGCCTATGACCCTGAATTTGTCAAATGGTAAGACACGTGAAATACCTTGTGTAGTTGTGTTAAACGTCGTTGCTTTAATGACGTTTAACACATTGTTTGCTCATATTGTTAAAAATCAAAGTCTGCAATGAGCGGAAACTTGTGTCTAATATCCGCCAGTTGCAGGTTCTGTCAACATTCTTATATTTAGCGACTCAGAGATAACAGGAATGACTCATGCAGCAATCTTGGCTTAATATCTGCAGCAATCTTGGCTTGCTATCAAATACTGTATACAAATTCTTGCTTTCTGAATTATATAAAAATTTATGGTCTTATTCTTTTTTGCTGCTAATGCAAATGGCTTTTCTATTGAGATTATACTTCGCACATGCATTCTATATTGACTCCATTCACAAGGCCATTGATACTGTCGTTTACAGAAAATCGCTATACCAATTACGTAAATTAATTGAAACTTAATAACTATAATAAAAATTTTTAGCGACCGTACGCATCAACGAGCATCTTTTCCTTATCATGATATTCCAACCTTAACGGAATTAAACTGTCCATTTGATTTTAGGGCATTACTTATTTGGTGCCTCAGATCAATCCCATCACTGGCCAGTGTACCTCTAAAGTACGGATTCCCTGGTTGCAGAATCGAAGGTTAATTTCTATAGCATTCTGAGTTTTGACTTAGAGGATAACAACATTTTCTTCGTCACATGTATCAGGTTTGAGGCTCGCAACTACAGCCTCTACGACTTCCACCTGAGCAACGTCCCAGACTACGTCTTCGTCTACAATAACAGCCGCTTCAGAAATATCAGACGCAAAGCTACGCAAGCGTAGATGATTATTGTTAAATATATACACCGATATATTTTTTTAAAGAATATGCTGATAAAACGTTATCTTCATCCACAGTTGTGCTGCCTATGTTTTGCTATAGTTCGGTTCTCTTATAGTTATAATTAAGCCCTTCTAACGACATGAATCATTTTTGTCTTCCTATCGCTCCTTAAGTTGTCCACAAGTGTCAAACCTGTCAGGTAATATTGATGTTGACCATGATCGCTAGAGATAATGAAATTTTTCGTGTATTTCATGCTCATTGTGTTCATTAAACGGTAAAAGATATATAAAATAAAATGAAAAGCAAACTAAAAAAGTACGTAACACATCCATGCAACAAAAATTCTTCTCGCTTCGAGTCACCGACATGCGGAACAGCCTCCCCGATGACATCGTTGACGCTCCGAGTATGAGTTAGTTAGTTAGTTAGTTTAGTGGCCAAATGTTTACTAGCGCTTCAGCTATTTAGCTATCTCGCACCGAAAGTCAAGATGAACATCACCATAGAGGTGGAAGGTCTCAATTATTCATCACCCACAATGGGCGGAAGGTCTCAGATGTCCAGCCCGCTGAAGCTGGCTCGAAAGAAGCAGCGTTAGCATCTCGAAGAGACGAAGTGACAAGGAGGGACAGGCGAAAAGCAACAGAAACGAAGGCACTCGAACAAATGGTCGCTTACACGGGACGTCGACCGCCCGCACGAGAGAGACAGAGAAGGGTAATGTAAGGAATCCTACCTACATAATAACTTAACCCCACAACTGAGACCTACAGTCAGACACCGCGAGCTCAACGGTGGGACGCTCAGGAACAATCCCCCTAGGAACGGGAAATCCCATAAGACTTCTGACGAGCACAGACACGCGTCAGAAGTCCCCCCTGAGGGGCTCCGAGTATGAATGCCTTCAAGAATAGACATATATAGACGAAGCTATGCAGGAGCATATGTTCAGTCTTGGAATGCCTAGCACCTTCATGCAATAAAAAAAAGTCCAGCAGTTATCTAAATCAATCGTCTGTTATGAAAAGATCGGGTTCAAAACGCTGGATCCCTTGTGGAATCAAGTCACGAATAGTACAAGAATCGGCCACATGCGCGCCATGGGCCTATTTCTTCAGAGCCGACACTCCTATTCTACTTTATTCTATTCTATTGATGAAAATACAATATGGGACAATTTTCTTCCGTATCTCAAGTTAAAAATAACGAAATACGCAGAAACATCTATAGCACAGAGCAGCGAGCTGTAGGAGTTACCCATACAGCTGCAAGCTGTAGGTTATACCAGTGCAGTTGCAGCTCGAGGTGTAGCCATACAGCTGTAAGCTGTAGGTGCAACCCATGCAGCTGCAGCTGTGGTGTAACCCAAGCAGCTGCAGCCGTAGGTGTAACCCATGCAGCTGCAGCCGTAGGTGCAACCCATGCGCTGCAGCTCTGATGTAACCCATGCAGCTGTGAGCTGTAGGTGTAATCCATGCAGCTGCAAACTGTTACGTAACCCAAGTGATGAGTTACCCAAGAAAAGTTGACCAGTAAATTGTGCAAATTATGCAGATCGACAGGTGACTGCAGAAAGCTCGTTGCCGAAATTACGCAGAGCTTGAACTATACAAACGGAATTTATTTATTTAGTCTTCAGTTGATCACTGTACTCGTGATAATTTTGGTGATGGCAACGTGTACAATAGATGATGGAAGATTCATTGAGCAAAAAGTAACACAATAATGTTTGCGATTACACGTTTGGCACTAAAGTCATGGTCGTCTATTTTATTTGTATAACAACAGACCTAGCCCAGTAAACATCACAATTTAGCATGAAGAATAAATCAGGGCATCAAAATAATATCGAAATCTACGGGCTATTCTCTCATTTGTGCGCGTGCTGCTTCCTCGTGTATACATGATGAGGAAGTGTTGTTGTTGCATACAACATGTTATTGTATACAATAAGCGCACCCGGTAAGAACTATACGAGTTTGCCCATTTCCGCCTATTTAAATTACTGCGAATAAGCTCCAGCCAATCGCCGAAATCCGAAGGCCATCAATAAATACCAATTAATTTGCAAGGGTTATTGTGAGAGCCACGATTTACAAGCTGCCTGATCCATATCGACTCGCTCTATGCCATACCTAGTAAGCGCCTAAGAGGTTGGCTAGCTTTATATTTGAATCAGGATAGACGAAGCTAAAATTACAATAAAATCCTGATGATATCTTCGGATAACTTAATGATGTCTTTTTTAATAAACATTCACAATGTCAATGAGTGAGCGTCGAAATCGGTGATAGAACTGCTAGACTATTTTGATTAACATCTTCAAAAGCACCGCATTTTCCGTGTGTTCTTATCAAGATGAGGGAATCCATATCAGACAAGTATCTGAACAGCTTGTAAGATCATAGCCCATGGCATTAAAATGTTTCCATGATCAGAAAAAATCTGTAATGAGTTGTTTATAGCCTTCTCTTCGTTTGACAATCTTTATAAAATATAGCCCTGTTCTAAGTAGCTCATTGAAATCATCGCAATCAAGCTCATCGAAAAGGAAAAGACGGGCTTCACAGTACTCGCCCGCGGGCCGACTGAAGAAAGTCAAGGAGTAATGTTGTGGAAGGTTAACGTTTGTCCTTCAAAGCAGATTGATCGAGGCAACAACCATGATTTATTTTTGAGAGCTATTTGTATATGAGTTGGGTTAATTTTAACCTATTTTTTACCACGTGACTGTATGATTCATGTAAGGACAGTGCGTTAAGTTGGATGTTTATGGACGAGTGTAATTATATATTGTTTCGTTGTCCTAAAATCAGGACATTCTTTAAAATTTTCTTTGAACATTGCTTTTTTGAAGCGATTTGATTATTAGATTTTACCTAAATAATTCTCGCATCGTCAATCAACGTTTGCCCACATTTAGCTGTAGCAAGCCCTAGCACAAGTGCCACCATGCATAATNCAACGTGCACCGATAATAGAAAAATTTAATTTTAAAGTTGGATTTTTGTTTCTCATTAATTAAATTCGAAAATTTCGAGCAGACGCTGAACGGAAAATACTTGAAACTTTTCCCTTCGAGTCGGTGAAGGTGGACGTGTGGTTTGTCGAGCACAGGACGCGTGATGACGTCACAGGAGCGCTCACTACGGCCTATGACCCTGAATTTGTCAAATGGTAAGACACGCGAAATATCTTGTGTAGTTGTGTTAAACGTCATTTCTTTAATGATGTTTAACACATTGTTTGCTCACATTGTTAAACGTCAAAGTCTGTAATGAACGGAAACTTTTGCCCAATATCCGCAAGTTGCAGGTTCAGTCAACATTCATATATTGAGCGACTCAGAGATAACGGGAGTGACTCCTGTTATCTCTGTCCTGTCATCATGATATTCCAACTTTAATGGAATTAAACTGCCCATGTGATTTTAAGGCATTACTTATTTGGTGCCTCAGATTAATCCCATCACTGTCCAGTGTACCTCTAAATTACTGATTCCCTGGTTGTAGAATCGAAGGTTAATTTCTAGAGTATTCCGAGTTTTGACTTAGAGGATAATAACATTTTCTCGATCACATTTATCAGGTTTCAGGCTCGCAACTACAGCCTCTACGACTTCCACCTGAGCAACGTCCCAGACTACGTCTTCGTCTACAATAACAGCCGCTTCAAAAATATCAGACCCAAAGCTACGCAAGCGTAGATGATTATTGTTAAATATATACACCGATATATTTTATTTTTAAAGAATATGCTGATGAAACGTTATCTTCATCCACAGTTGTGCTGCCTGTGTTTTGCTATAGTTCGGTTTTGTTATTGTTATAAACCCTTCTAACGACATGAATAATTTTTGTCTTCCTATCGCTCCTTAAGTTGTCCACAAGTGTCAAACCTATCAGGTAATATTGATGTTGACCATGAGTCCAGCAGTTATCTAAATCAATCGTCTGTTATGAAAAGGTCGGGTTCAAAACGCTGGATCCCTTGTGGAACCAAGTCACGAAAAGTACAAGAATCGGCCACATGCGCGCCATGGGCCTATTTCTTCAGAGCCGACACTTCTATTCTACTTTATTCTATTCTATTGATGTAAATACAATATAGGACAATTTTCTTCCGTATCTCAAGTTATAAATAACGAAATACGCAGAAACATCTATAGCACAGAGCGGCGAGCTGTAGGAGTTACACATACAGCTGCAAGCTGTAGGTTATACCAGTGCAGTTGCAGCTCGAGGTGTAGCCATACAGCTGTAAGCTGTTACGTAACCCAAGTGATGAGTTACCCAAGAAAAGTTGACCAGTATATTGCGCAAATTATGCAGCTCGGCAGGCGACTGCAGAAAGCTTGTTGCCGAAATTACGCAGAGCTCGAACTATACAATAAAAAACGCAAATTATTTATTTAGTCATCACTTGATCAGTGAACCCGTGATAATTTTGGTGATGGCAAAGTGTACAATAGATGATGGAAGATTCATTGAGCCAAAAGTAACACAATAATGTTTGCGATTACACGTTTGGCACTAAAGTCATGGTCGTCTATTTTATTTGTATAACAACAGACCTAGCCCAGTAAACATCACAATTTAGCATGAAGAATAAATCAGGGCATCAAAATAATATCGAAATCTACGGGCTATTCTCTCATTTGTGCGCGTGCTGCTTCCTCGTGTATACATGATGAGGAAGTGTTGTTGTTGCATACAACATGTTATTGTATACAATAAGCGCACCCGGTAAGAACTATACGAGTTTGCCCATTTCCGCCTATTTAAATTACTGCGAATAAGCTCCAGCCAATCGCCGAAATCCGAAGGCCATCAATAAATACCAATTAATTTGCAAGGGTTATTGTGAGAGCCACGATTTACAAGCTGCCTGATCCATATCGACTCGCTCTATGCCATACCTAGTAAGCGCCTAAGAGGTTGGCTAGCTTTATATTTGAATCAGGATAGACGAAGCTAAAATTACAATAAAATCCTGATGATATCTTCGGATAACTTAATGATGTCTTTTTTAATAAACATTCACAATGTCAATGAGTGAGCGTCGAAATCGGTGATAGAACTGCTAGACTATTTTGATTAACATCTTCAAAAGCACCGCATTTTCCGTGTGTTCTTATCAAGATGAGGGAATCCATATCAGACAAGTATCTGAACAGCTTGTAAGATCATAGCCCATGGCATTAAAATGTTTCCATGATCAGAAAAAATCTGTAATGAGTTGTTTATAGCCTTCTCTTCGTTTGACAATCTTTATAAAATATAGCCCTGTTCTAAGTAGCTCA